AAATAGCGAAACACATTTTAAGACAAAGTCTAAAATAACATAAATCCAAACATTGCCTTTGTAGAAGCGTGTGGCTTCAGAAGTATTCTAATAAAACTTGGATTTTAACAGCAAAGACACATGGTTCTGAAACATCTTTAGCTCTCGCAGTCTGTTTTTACCATTTCAAACGTAGATTCATATAGTGAAAACACACAAAGACCAGTTGACTATATTATAATCTTTTATTTAAGATAATTGAAGTAAATATATCTACAAACTAGTGCGAACAGGAATGTAACCACAACAGAGAGACCAGAAGACAGAAGAGAAGGCATCGAGCATCGCAGTGTTTCAGTTTGGCTGAATATCACACAGCAGCTCTCTCATACAGCAGCTCTCTCACACAGCAGCTCTCTCATACAGCAGCTCTCTCAGCCGGTTTCTGCTCTCAAAAGTTCTGCAGCTGTTAAAGGGATAGTTCACCCAAAGATGAAAATTCACTCATCATCTACTCACCACTATATACCAATGAAGGGGGGGGGGACTTTTGGAGCTTCAGGGTTCAACAGTGTTGCAGCCAAATCCAATCAAATCCAAGCTGATTCTTAAAGAAACAGAAAAAATAACATGAAATACTTCCAAGTGTCCATCGGCCTGTCATCAAGACCATGTTTTTAAAACATTTAGGATAAAAACTTGGTGTAAATGATGCAGTTTTGAGTCCATTAGAATGTCGGGATGACACCACAGGAGCAGTATGGAAGCATTGTGGGGTTTTTTCTTATGTTTGAAGAATTTGTCCTCAGTTACTTCCCTTGTATTGGATTTAGCTGCAACGCTGTTTCCCCCTGAAACTCCAAAAGTGTTCTGTGGACTCCAACTCTTCACCCACCTCTCCATCATAGTGCTGGGTGTAGAGATGTTTTATCTTTGGGTGAGCTACTCCTTTAACCATGGAGAAAAGTCAATGTGAGTTTCCTATAACAATCCCATGATGCACTGTGCCTGTAGTGTGTATGTGTGGCCTCACATCTTGAATCAGTATCTTCATGGCTGCTCCTCCCTCCTCCAGCTGATCACACACTCAGCACGTGGTGGAGGTAGGAGATGTAGCACAGCGCCAGTCTCAGGGTCTCGATCTTGCTCAGCCTCTTGTCGGGGGGGATCGTCGGCAGCAGCTTCCTCAGCTCCGCGAAGGCCACGTTGAAGGCCACCACGCGGACGCGCTCCCTGTTGGCGTGCGCGGATCGATATTTGGCGGTGGCGCGCCTCCTCCGCCTTCTCTCCTCTCTGCTGAGCGCGGGCACGTGCGCGGAGCCACCGTGAACGTCGTCCGGGACAAGGTGCTGCTGCTGCTGCGCGTCCATGTGTCCCCAGGGCGCCCCGGGGTGCGCACGGTCCGGACTGAGCATCACTGTCCTCACTGAACAAATGTCCTGCAGAGACACAGCAGCTTTAAGAGCCTTCAACACGAATCAATAATAATCAGCCGATATTTAAAGATCATTGCATCACGTGTATGACATAAATAACATAATAACATAAAGCTGGTGCAGATGTAGACGTATCGAGACAATAGGTTATTATTGAATGAACAATGTGGTTCTTCTGCACATATTTCTTCCCTGTTTTTACACTCTATATAAATTAGTGTCATAAATTCATATTTTCTATATTTTTATATTCCTGACACTTAGGTACTGTTTCCCATTGTTGGACTAATAAAGGATTATCTTATTCGTTACAGTTTTGTCATTGAATTATTTTCTTTGTTTGCAAAAAAGCCCAAAACATTTTTGTACTTAATTTTACAAAAATATGAGGGACTGGTGCTGCCCCCTTGTGGCAGAATGGCTGCCATTGGCGCTGTCTGAGGTGCTGAAATAAAAACGTCACAGCCCCCCCCCCACCCCGAAAAAGTCGACATATTTTAAGAAATCATAATTACAAAAATGAATATCTAAAAATTCCAAATTTTCTTCACTTAAATTGAAATGAGAGAAAGGCCCCAGAGTAGAAAACATTACATTCTGCTTTATGAAATGAATAAATCCGTGAAAATGATGGAATTTCTCTATTTGTTTTAAGGATATATTTTGTGGCACATTACGAACTCATAATATTGATCTATGTGCGCAAAACTTGTTGAGCAGGTGAACTCACAAAAGATGCTCGGGTCGGTTTAGTTTTTAAAGTTGATCTAATTTAAACAAGGCAAAATGTATTTTTACAAAATTTAACCTGCGATCAGCTCAGCCTGCAAAAACAATACACAGTATAAAACCAACAATACTGAGTCGAATCACAATTTGCCTTCATGTGCAAGAAAACATGAAATCTGAACTTACATTTCACATTGAAAGATCAGATCCAGCTGATTCCACAGGATAAACCTGCATCAGATAAACAGGAACAGTTGTGTCCTCATCAGCCTCCATGCTCTTTCTTTTGGTTCGAGGTAAATCAAACAGGACGTGAGTTCAGGTTCAGTCCGGCTCCATGTCCTCCTCCATGTCCGGTGCGCATTTCTTAGCTCATTTACAGACGGTGCGCAGTTTTCTTTCGTGCGTTTCCTCCATCAAAGCTCGACTCTGGATGTGCGCAAAACAAGACGCAGTCGTCTCTCCATAAGAGTGCAGCGAAGTGACGACACGCACAGCGGGATAACGAGAGGGTGTTTATCTCTCCTCCTTCACTTTCTACTCCCAGGTGACATCTTACAAACTTATTTGCAGCCTCATGAGTCCATGAAACCAGCTCCACCGAGATGCGCAGGGATAAGTGAGCACCTGCGTCTGAACAGGAAGGAAACAGTAAAATGTCTTATCACCTAAGGAAATAAAAAGCCTCGTGTGGAGCAGCAGATTAAAACATCTGTTGTGGTCTATCCATTTAAACTTAGAGAACAGAAACAAAGCAGAAGCAGCTCAGCCTTCGTTTCATGGGACACTAGGTCATTACAACCAGTCGATACAGCACAAGATCCAGGAACTAGACTCATCCCTCATGTACACACTCAATATTGGCACAACTGGATTCAGTTACTCTGCACCTTCTGAATGGAAGGATTTACAAACTTCCCTCCAACTAGTCTCCTGTTCCCTTTGGAGATTTAAAATCTTTACTATGTGATGGTTTTTATGAATCCTGTTCTTATTGATTTATTTGAAATATGTTGCTCCTGGTTAATTGTTTGTTGCTGATTGTGAATGTTACTTGTTCTCATGCCTCTCTTGGAAAATAGATCTTGATCTCAATGGGACAGCCTGATTAAATAAAGATTTAAAAAAACGAGTTTTAAAAACATATATCTGTGTAAGGGGAGGTGGGGCTGATGATAAGAAAGATTTTAAATGACAATGGGCCTGGATGTTGCTGGGACTCAAAGTTTTGGTTATAAGCTGTGAAATGTGAAGAAGGAGTCTGTGTGAGAAACAGAGGCGCAAGCAAGAAAATATTGATTTCCACCTTTAATAAGATTGTTCTATCCCTTCTCATAAAAGCTATTAAAAGTCAGTTGTGTTACCACAGCAACTCTTGCATCTCTCCTCCTCCTCATCTCTCGAAATGTCAGCACTGATCATCACTAACACAATCACTGTGAGTAAATCACCAGAGGGCCTCCACCTCTGTGCTGACGGTGGGTAAACGTTGCCTCAGGCTTTGACAGAAACGGCACCGTGAACACTTGTCTTGGATCACGTGTGATTACTGCAAAGGTTCCTCGACATATGGCTGACGTCATTATCAATCTCTCCAGTTGTTAACGTGACCACCTCTTGCATGTGGAATGAACTGCTACACTGCTCGTCACGAGAGGAAAGAGGCATCATGGGATGCAAACGACTTCTCTGTGTTGTTGTAGTGAGTAATAATGATGGAATACATGCTTCACATTTCTTTGGTGTCTCTGGACGTATTGCAGCTTTTTTTCGATTTGAATGTCAGGAATGTTAAGTCATTTAAAGTAATTCAATTCAATTTTAACTGGATAAAACATTACATGTACTGTCTCTATCAACATGTGGTGTCAGTCTAGAGCGGGGTAGTGCAATATAACTAAAAAAAAGCAGGTGGATCAAAAGCAGGTGAAGTTTTACTCTTCTGTTAACAGCAACTCAGGTAATTCTCTTAATCCAAATCCAACAACAAACGTGAAACACCCCAGAGGAGAAAGTGATTGCTGATCAAACTGAACAGAATTCCAAAAACAACTCAAGTTAGAATGTCCTGGCTACAGGTTCGTCTTCCTCTTAATACTTCCCAGTCTGTTTTTGTACTTTCCTGCATGTAGCTGTCCGTTCAACGTCCCTCTGCCCCTCTCCTCTCCTCTGTGCAGCTCCCCCTCCTGATTCAATTAGGTGGCTTAAGCACCAACACCTGTGAATGTGAGAGGGACTGCTTGTTTGTCTCCAGCCCTGTGATAATGATGGGTGTGTCCTGCCTCTCACCAGCCCCCCCAGGACCCTGGAAGGATAAGTGTTATGAATAATGGATGGTTGGATGTGTGAGAGGTCAACAAGCGTCAGGTCCTAGTGCTGAAATGAGTCAAAAAACATGTAATTGATGTATTTATTCTTCTTTCCTATTTTATTCCTCTATGTTTCATTTGAAGAGTTTGGAGACGGATCACTTTCTTGCATGTAGAGGTTCAGTCTTGACTGCAGCCTGGTGAAAACCCCCCCGATCCATTCACATCTGTCAGAACCTTTAATCTGATCTGGGAGTTATGGGCATTGTTATGAAGCACCTGGCCATCCTGGATCCACAGTAAACAGAACTTGTTGATTTCAGTAGAATCACTAATGACTCCCCTTCACTTCTCCTCCTTCTCCTTCTACCTCATATCTTCACCTCCTCCTCCTCTTTCTCCAAACATAAAATGCACAAATATTTAACTTCCATTCCCAGTAAATCAAATGAATCTGCAGTACCCTCTTCCAAACGTTATGTTTAAGGTATAGTCTATGTCTACATTTCTATGGGGGAAGAGTTTGAGTTGTCCTGTTGTGTTTGTTTACTCACAGTTACGTTCCATCTCTTTAGCTTCTGTCAGGTCCATGTTCTGTCCTCATGTGACTCTGTGAAAATCAAACTCTGTAAACAAAAACTGTGAAGTACCTTGATTTTAATTTGATCTCTAGCCCCCCCCCCCCATTCCCCCTCTGTCTGCTCACCATCTGCTGTCATATATTTAGTTTCTTCTGATTTGGAATCAGATCTGTAATCAATCAGCGTCGTCGCCATGGTAATAGCTGCAAGGAGAGAGTGAGACAACACACTCGCTCCGATGCTTTCCTCAACGTTTTCGGGAAATATTCCAAGAAACTATAGGACTGGAGATAATCAATGAACACATGACGTAGAAAGAACAGCAAAAACTCTCATTTCGAGAAGGTCCGACCACAAATGTTAATCGAAATGATCCATTGAGACTGTGTTTATCAGCTAAAAATGTCATAGCTTTAAATTTTAGGCATCTTGTTTATATATGAATACTGTGTCATGGAAATAAATAAATAAATATCTTACATTAAATTTAATCTATTTAAGGGCAGCTCGACGTTGTCAGCTATCCATTTTATTGCAGTTCCCAGGGTGATATAGTTTGTGGTTAATTTGCATCTCCAAATCATTTCCTTCAGCTATGATAAGCTGGGATGTTTTAATCAATGTATGACAGGTAATTAAACGCACAAAGTTATGGTCTAATTTACAGGCAACCCAATCTCACAATACACTGTGTGTGAGGGAATCAAGTCACAGCTAAAATAATTGATTCTGACCTTTGGCTTTTAAGAAATTATAGGAAAACCCCAATGAGAATATGTTGTTCTCCTTGTTTCCTGTTTATTGACAACAACAGCACTTCATACAACTGTTTTATACAGATTTCATTCCAGTGTGGAACTCGTCTCAGTTTATCTTTTCATGGCTGTGCACAAAATCCCCATC